AAAACACTGAGAAGGTCTCTCTGCCTCTTTACCATTGTCTAATTAAACTATCATTTTAGAGTTATGATGAACCTTCATAATTATCGCGACACGGATAGAAAGTACCGCGTCTTTCATCCTGACTTGTAACTCCATAATTTTCGCAAGGTCGCTCTCTCCGTAGAGCGTCATGCTCAGAACCGATGGATCCGGGGTTCGAACCCTGGTCAGGTGATTCGCCGTAAATTAGTACCGAATTGTGGAATGGAGACAATGCACTATGCTTGCCGCATAGTTGCTGACGATTCTGTCTTTAAATAAAGCACTACTGGCTGATGACTTGGAAATGGAATTCAGTGCGATGCCAAGGTTGCCACCAATGGCCACATGATAATGTATAAGAAACACACCGACATTCCAACAGTTACAAACTCAGTTTTCTACATCCTCTCTGTGGCTCCACATTAGAGTGGTCTCATCCTTCTCGTTTATGGCGTTTGGTTACGGGAGGCTTAAAAATCATGTACACATTTATATTTTCCGCACGTTTTTCAATTTCCTTTGAGTTATGTACTTCAGTTTGCTTTTAAGTGACATTTGCTGACATCCATCATTGTCATTTTTTTATGTTTCATTTCGTTTCTATTATTTAGTGCAACAAAGCATCTGGTCGCTGATGCAGTTCTCAACTTTGTGTTGCTGAAGACTTGCGACCCGAAATATGTGCACAAGTAAGTGTGCTGTTCAGACGGATCACGGGTTTACAGAAATCGTCTGTAGGGTGGTGTTTTGCTGCTCGATGGCTTACATGTCTTACATGCACATGTTCAGGGCGCTCTTTTCAAATAGCTACCTGTTGGACATAACCGGGTAAGTAATCGCGAAGGACACCTAGTGACCTCGCGATAATCGTCTCGGTTCATCTCGATCGCTTGTTTTGCAGCTCGATGATGATCATGACTGAAAAATTGACGTCGCTAGCCTTCAACTTGCATGAAGGCGCCGAACCGGCCGCGCAGCTGAACGACGATCAGAAACGCCTCGCTTTAGCGTAAGTAACTGACTTCATCGTCGTTTTAATGAAGAGTGCCATACACGTTGCTTATGTAGGAAGGTTCCGAGCTGTCTTCATTACTTCTCGTTCCTATTCAACTTCCAAACTGTACTGTGCGGGCCGTTTTCTTTCTACAAGGATTATTGGAACTTTACTGATCAGATTTATTCTGAGGTATCGTAGTGTTAGCAGACAGTTGTTAAGTTAGTGAAGGTAATGACGATGGCAAAGCAATTTAGGCTGCATGTCGCACAAGACCAAATCCTCCGCCATGGGTAAGACTTTTCGTTTTCTAATAAACATTTCTTGCACTATTCTGCTGGTAAAATAAGGAGATTCCCATTATTACTCATTTTCGTGCCTTTCATTTATCGGTTTTAACGCAGCTGAGACGTTGTGTTGTCGTTAGCGAATCGGTAGCAGTACGACTATTCGTTCGTCATTATTGCTTGTAGCAAAGCTATGAATTGATTGAGTTTTTTAGCAAACTGTCAAGCAATTCATTTTTGATCTTATGTCGGATTCTTCAACACCGTTTCATCACTCTTTCGTTGATTTCCGAAAGCCTTCTTCAGAATATGGCAGGAGCGACTCTGGACAGCCATAAAAGGCACAATTTATGCTAGGAAATCATGCCCCTAATAATCGATCTGCAGTGATTCGAAGAGTGCTCTTAAAATATTAGAAACACCCATTGAACGATTTAAGATTACAGTTGGTGGCTGACAGAGTCCATTGCTATCGCCATCACTTGTAGTCTTGCTAGAGTAAATTCTGTAGGAAGATCTCAAAGGATCTCAGAAGATGTCAATCCGTTTCCAAGAATCAGAGAACTCTTGAACATGTTCAGATGTTTGAATACGAGCGCATTTCCCTTTTGCATACTAGTGAACACAGTAATTAGAAGATTATAAGCCTAAATGGAAACAATTCTCTGAAAGGAATCAACTATGGAAACTTGAGACATGTCTAAGGGGTCAAATATCTTCGCCAGAGGCTGCTAACGACGCTGGAATTTTAGCTTGAGACCGCTAACATCAGTGATGGTGCTGTCAAACTCGAACTGATTGTAAGGGCAACACCGTCAAAGTTATGGCTGAGATCCGCTTGTTAATGACGCTATGAAATATCATCCGTCCATGTGGTTTTCATTCGCGCCTGTTCTGTCATACTGCACTTGAAATTGATTCGCATAGGCAGAAAACAGCAAAAACCAGAGAACCGACCCCTGAAAAGCTATGAGAGTGTTGCGTAGTCAATTTGAACGAACTGTTAGACGTTTAAAAGAACTGTTAGTGTTCTGGCAGGTAGACTGAATGAACGAAATAATGAATATGATTATGATTTAACCTTCAGCAATTGTTTTTCACATTGCTTTCTCCTGGCACGTGTCTTCTGTGCCCATCTGTGTCCGCTGACGGTACAGCGATGATCTCGCCGATGACTAATGCGGAACTGAACGTATTTCACGGAGTTCTTCAACGCAGGTAACTGGATGCCCTCTAGCTGGCAGGAGTTAGACACGGACATATGCTTCAGCAGTGTTTATTGCCCTGAAATATTTGTTTGCATATGCTATTGGAACAGACATGATATTGGTTACGACATTGAACTCTGGCAACTAATGTAGATTCAGCAGGGCTGTTGTCTGTGTCTTGGAGTGCCAAGTTATTTTTACCTGGTCTGGACAGTTATAATTAACCATGTATACATTAATGCGAGTACCTTATTGCAGGTGAAGCTATATGAGTTTTAAGCTCCAAATTATATA